TAGGCTGGATTTGTCCAGGGCCGAATTTTAACCCCAGTCCAGCCCTGTACCCGTCACTACACAACAAATAATGGCGTGGCGGGCGCACTGGTTTCCTTTGCATTGAAGCAATAACGAAAAATAAAACAATGCCTGAAGACTCACACCGTGTCTACACCAGATGCGACAAAATACTATAGAACCCATTATAATCGGTGATGCGGCCTACACTGGATGTGGCACAGCACAGCACGACAAATCCCCGACAGTAAACTGATGCCTCGTTCTATTTATGACGTAGGCCTACTGTTTGACAAAGTACAAATGATTTGCAATGGTCACTTTGTCGCATCCAATGTGGACAGCCTCAAGCTGTTGGCTTACCTCCGGCCTTTTTTATGAATGGCCGGTAACTTAAAAATTTAGTAGCCAAATTGGCTGGTGAGTGAAAAAGTTAATTTCAAACCCTGATTAAAGCCAATCACACACACGAGTCTGTTGAGCTTATGAATGCAATGGGTAATCAGACATTCAGATGAGTCATCGCTGAAACGCGGTGTTTTGTTCACTTGCTCGCTGACTGTGCAGATGCGCGTATGAATGCAAGTAAGATATTCATTTCACAGAGTAAACAGCATCAGTGATTTAAATGGGAGTTTTTGAGAGTGCCTGAACTCTGGCTAGACTGAAGTGAAAATGTTCTTTGCTCTCTGTAAAATGAAAATGTTATAGCCTAATATAGTAACTTACAATATTGTTATTAAATTCACATTAAATACAAAGTCTGTCGTACATACATACACTACCAGTCAAACTTTTTTTGAACAGTAAGAGAACCAATAAAAAAAGATCCAAAGATCAGCATTTATCTGAAATAAAAAGCTTTTGTAACATTATAGACTACATATACCATTCAAAAGCTTGGAGTCAGTATATTTTTTTCCCTTGGGAAATGATAGAAATTAATACTTTTATTTAGCAAGGATGCTTTAAATTGATCAAAAGTGACGATAAAGACATTTATAATGTTACAAAAAATTATATTTCAAGAATTCAGAATTCTATTTCAGTTCAGAAGCTGTTCTTCTGAACTTTCTCTTCATCAAAGAAACCTGAAAAAATTATACTCCGCTGTTTTCAACATAATAATAATAAATGTGTTTTGAGCAGCAAATCAGAATATTAGAATGATTTCTGAAGGATCATGTGACTGGAGTAATGATGCTAAAAATTCAGCTTTGAAATCGCAGAATAAATTAAATTTTAAAATATATTCTAATAGAAAACAGTTATTTAAAATAACATTTTGCTGTATTTTGGATCAAATAAATGCAGGCTTGGTGAGCAGAAGAGAATTCATTAAAAAACTGATATATATGTATATATATATATAGATAAATACAGCATTTATATCATTTTAACATTTAAATACATTACGGTCTACATTAAAACTCGTTTAACGAATATTTTAGAACATCAAAAGTAGGGCTGTCAATCGATTACAATTATTAATCTGATTAATCACATCCTTTTTCTGTGATTAATCGCACACTTCATGAAATTAAGCATAGACCATTTCTTTTTAGTCTTAGTCCCGGGCTAAAATGTCCTTGTTAGTTTTTAACCTGAAGTATTTTAGTCAAGTTTTAGTCCAAGAAAACCTGAAGTATTTTAGTCTAGTTTTAGTTCATGAAAACTTGACATTTTAGCAATAAGATTATTATTAATTAACCGTACAGCAGTATTAATTTTGGCAGCCATTTTTTATTGAGTCTTACTCAAATGTACATTTTAGTTATCATATTTAGACAACCTTGTCCTGTTTTTGTTTATTCAATTAAATGTATGAGCATTTTAGTTAGGTTTTTTTAGTCAATGAAATCTTAGTCACATTTTCGTCATTCTGTATAATTGTTAAACTGATAAAAATAGTTTTTTTCTCAAAATTATAATCGTAATAATTGTTGTCATTTGAGAAATTTACTTTTGCATTTCAGGTATTGCACTTTCTCCAGTAAGCGCAAATCAATAGAATGTGGTGTATTTTACCTCATCTAGTGTACTGATTTATTATAGGCTTTTTATTATATAAATCAACACCAAAGACTTGTGCAATCTCTCTGTCTACATTATGAAAACAGCTTAAACAAACAAAAAATATTATAACAGTGAAAGTCCCAGTAATTCCACTAATTCCATAATTGCAATAGTCTATTTCTCTATTAAAACAACAGCGGTTGAGTAAGTGTATTTATTCAGCGATCACAATCACAAACAATACAGTGAGATCTCATGACAGAACACAGACTGGCTGAATGACGCTTTCATTTAGATGCTAAACTCCAGCATCTTTGTTTTTCAGATCATCGGCGGCGGCGCTTCCGCAATGAGGAGAGAGCGTGTGCGCATGGCCAGATTGTTTCAAATAAGCAAAACACACCGGGCAGAAAATGTATCAATGTAACAGCGAAGCTCTGATTCGGGAATTAGAACTCTTGATATCTGGCAACCATACTCATGAAAGCTCACATAGTAGAGGCGTGTAGAGCAGTCTGCAGTAACATTGTGTCTCCTTTTTTGACGAAAATAAAAAGAGGTTTTTGGTTAAGTTTTTATCTTTTTGAATACCGAAATTGCATGTTGATATAGTCTTAGTTATCGTTTATTGACCTTATTGTCGTCTTATCTTAGTCATGGGAAAAAAGCTCGTCAACGAACATTTTTCGTCATAGTCTTCATTAACGAAATTAACACTACTGTGCATAAATACAATGTGTGATCAGTGCATCGAGCACTCATACACGCATTATTATAACGGACTCCCGCGTGCTTACTGTACGACTCCTGTACTCCACCGCAATCGTCTTTACCTTGATTGCAGTCTTCATCCATCAAAACTTTACTAGCGAGACTGGTTATCCAGTCGAGAATCCGTAGTTTGCATCTCATCTGGCCATACAGTGGTGGGATGTGTTGACAATCTGTTCAGTCTGTACTTCATACACAGCGCGGCGTGTGACGTGTGAGGGCTCGTGCTCTTCAGAGACAATCACAGAATATGACAGAGCTCGTGTTTAAAAGCCAAACACACTGGAATGAATAATTCACTGAAAACACAACCCGAGTCTCTGTTCTCTCTGCAATCTCTGTACAAACTGTACAAATGACAACAATAAACCAAAGTAGCAACATTTAAATGACTCCTCATTTATGTACATTTAGTTTTTTTAACTGTAAGATAAAATGTAGGTCTGGGGAGTAAATTAATAGTTTACCAAAAAAATTAAAATAATGAAAATTGTTGAAAATGTACTTCCTCTCAGGCCACCAAAGATACTGAGCAAATGGTGTAATGCTAAATTCCTCCAAATCTGTTCCAATGAAGAAACAAATTCACCTACATCATGGATGGCCTGAGGGGGAGTACATTTTCAGCAGATTTTCATTTTTGAGTGAACTATTTCTTTAAAATAGGCTAATGGGTACAAAATATATATATTTTTATTTCAGTAATTCAATCCATGTAATATGTATATTAGAACTGTACAAATAACAACAATAAACCAAAGTAGCAACATTTAAATGACTCCTCATTTATGTACATTTAGTTTTTTTAACTGTAAGATAAAATGTAGGTCTGGGGAGTAAATTAATAGTTTACCAAAAAAATTAAAATAATGAAAATTGTTGAAAATGTACTTCCTCTCAGGCCACCAAAGATACTGAGCAAATGGTGTAATGCTAAATTCCTCCAAATCTGTTCCAATGAAGAAACAAATTCACCTACATCATGGATGCCCTGAGGGGGAGTACATTTTCAGCAGATTTTCATTTTTGAGTGAACTATTTCTTTAAAATAGAGGTCCTTGGAAATTTGTCAATAGAGCACAAACAGTCCACATCTGGTTGACTGAACCACAGAGTGAAAGGGGTAGGACACCATCAAAAATGTGATATTCCTTGATGCGTCTGATGGCCCTCTCCACATGTATCCTCAAGCGGGCAATCTCTTGGGTATGTGTAATTTCATATTTACTGAATTGTCCGCTTGGCCCTGTGAAAGCTGGGGTTACAAGACTGACATTGATGTCAGCAAGGAGGTCTTTGATAAGAAAGCCCTTATCAGCCATTACTTCATCACCTGGCTCAAGCAGTTTCAGAATGCCTGACTCTTTGGTGATTTCCTTGTCAGAGATGGAGCCTGTGTATAGGTTGCTTACAAAGCTAACCGTCCCAAAGGGTGTGATGCCAATCAGGGATTTCAAAGTTGTGCTTACCTTGTAATGAGAGTATGTCATGGTGTTCAGAACTTTTGAACTTGCTGCTTGAATATGGATCTCAGTACAATCTAGCACAACACGTGTTTTTGGAAAGGTCTTCTTGAAGCAGGGTGGCATTAGCTCATCTACAGCCTCTCTACTTGGCCATACTGGTAGTGTACCAAGCATGAAATACAGGTAGTTAGCCCAAGTTATACATATCCTGCTGACTGTGGCCTTTGAGATATTAAACCTCACTGCTAAATCTGCGGAAAGAAGCCCCTGCCTCATACAGCAGAGAAATAAGAAAAACTGGTCAAAAAGTTTTGATGTCTTGAGCCTGAAAGCCAGCAGTTACAGTCTGTTCTGTTTTATTAAGTCTTTGCATTGAGTCCATCTCACCAGAGACTGTGCTGTAGGTTGAAGAGACTGGTAGAGTGCTTTGAGGGTTTCATCATCTTTACATCCGGTGTAAAACATGATCAGCTTGGGCTCACATTGGAATCTTTGTAGACAAAACTGCTTAAATGTTCATTTTCTTTTATCAGACGAGCAATCTCCTTTTGTGCTGCATTCTGCTGCTCTTCAGTGGAAGGAGATGTTTCCAGGTAATCATGATCTTGCAGTGCCACAAAACCACTGTTAGATCTGTTTTAGGATAGAAGAGACAAAGAAAAAAATGATGAAGACCAAAAATAAGTATCAAGGTTGTTAATGTGTAGGTTTACACAAATTTTCATCAATCTGAATAAATCCGATTTCAGATTCTGAAAGTTGTTTATATGAACCCTAAATTTGTATCTGGTTCACACAGATCTTATAAAAGGGCTCTAGTAAACATTCATCCCAGCACTGTGCATGTGTGCAAGGTATTTGAGCTATCAATCCCATTACTAACAGATTATTTGGGTGTATGTAAATGTAGCAATTGAGTCATTATGCAGCAACTATCATGCCTATATAAGACATCTTTCACTCTGTTGGCATTAGATAGATGACTTACTGTTCTCCTGTGTTCTTCATCCTCCTCAAATGTTTCAATATCATTAACACTGGGTAGGAAAATCACAATTAATAAAGTTACTTTTGTTCATATTGTACTGTTATGCACAGTTGTCACAGACATACATTTTAAAATTCAGAATTTTTATAATATCTATCAAATTTGCCGCCAATTGATGAAAATCTGATACTTCCAACAGTTTTATATGTCTGAATAAACAGCATTCTGTCAATACGGTAAATTATACTATACAAATTGTGCTACTGTACGAATTGACAGCAAACAAAGTTAATTCATGTCACTTTGGTTAGGTTATACAACAAGACAAATTACATCAGGTAATATGATGAAACATTACAGTACTATCATATTTTTTATTCAGCAAGGTTAAATTCAATTTAAAAAGACAATCCTAATATCATAAAACAAGTGAACGCTCAAGTGTCCTCCTGGGCTTCAGTTCACAGCTCCACGTAAACAAAGTTGGTACGCTTCCATGTTTCAGTCTATGTAAACCAGTGAGCGATCGTACAATGCAGTCCGGGGTCAAATGTTTGGAGCATACTCTAGTGTTGTCTGTAACATTATGGGAGAATCAGTTCATTAACATGCGGTTGATAACTGAGTAAAACGTGTAGCTTGGAGAGCTAGCGCTAGCTAGATTAATAAAGGTATTTCGCTTACCTGAAAATAAGGTCCAACATCTCTTCTTATTTTCACAATCCATTCACAGCAGACTTTTGGGTCACTCGGAAAGCAATGAAATGACAACTCTTTGTCGCACTCTTTCCGTTGATAGGATGTACAGCCTGGTACACAGCAATACGACATCGCTACTCCTGTGATTCAAGGCGATACTTCCGGGTTTCTTCCCACCAGAGCCTCGCTTTCGATTTCAATATGGCGGCTGCGCGCAATCGGCGTATAGAGTTCAGAATGTCTATGAATGCTGATCCCAATGCATCTTTTTCATTATCAACATGGATATTAAAATCACCAACAATTAAAACTTTATCTGCAGCCAGCACTAACTCGGATATAAAATCAGCACATTCTTTAATAAAGTCTGTATGGTGCCCTGGTGGCCTGTATACAGTAGCCAGTACAAACATCACAGAGGTTTTATCATTAACACTTGTTTCTCTGGATAATTTTATATGAAGCACCATTACTTCAAACGCGTTATACTTGAAGCCCGCCCTCTGAGAAATACTGAAAACATTGTTATAAATTGAAGCAACACCTCCCCCTTTACCTTTTGGACGTGGCTCATGTTTATAACAGTAATCTTGTGGGGTAGACTCATTTAATTTAGCCAGGTTTCTGTCAAACAGAGCACATCTAGGTTATGATCAGTGATCATATCATTTACAAAAAGTGCTTTCGTAGAAAGGGACCTGATATTCAATAAGCCAAGCTTTATAATGTTTCTCTGTATTATATACATTTTTATTTGTTGAACATCAATTCAATTGATAAAATTGAATTGATGATAAAAAAAGTGATACTAAGATGGCGCCGCAGACGGCAGCCGCAGTGTTTGGCTCTCCAGTGTTTGTACTGTTTTTGTTAGTTTTTCCTGTTTTTTGTTTCTCAAACACGATCAGTTTTACCAGGGATGAGCTGCTGAACATTCGGCAGAACACACCACACAATCTTCTACCGGATTTCGTTTATTCGGACGTTTTGCTGAACGTTGTACTTGGCGGAGCTGCTGCGCTGATCAA